TTATAGCACCCATATTCATTAAAAATATTCATTCATTAAAAATATTCTATTCATTAAAAATAGAATGAAAACTTTTGAAGTTTTTCATTGTGTATATGATTTTATACAAACTGTAATTTTATATAAAAATAATTATCAGTTCAAATCCAAACCAGAAAAAGAATCTTTAATAATATTTTTTCTTTAATTAGTGATTTAATTTAGATTGTAGTGTTTTCATACAGTAAAAATTTATCAGAGGTCTAAATTTATTAAAACACATCAGATAGAATTATATGTGTAGTTTCAATTTGCTCACTTTTGTTATAATCATTGTGAATTCTTCATTGTGCTGAATATGCTATCTCACCTATTTCTAGGCCAGTATCTTGTCAGAGTTTGACGCGAGGCAGCTTTGGGACACAGGAGAAATTATATAATTGTGTGTTCCCAGCTGTTACTTTTAATCTAATTACAAAGTCACTCTTTTCAAAGAGTCATGGAGGGGTTGGAAGGGACTCCAGGATGTGGTCTAGTCCAATCCTTCTGCTCAAAGCAGGGTCAGTTACAGCAGGTTGCGTCCAGTTGTGTTTTTAATATCTTCAATGATGAAGACTCCACAACCTCTCTGGTAAACAAGCTCGTGCATAGTGTCTGACTGGTCTTAAAGTAGAAGTTTGTTCTTGGATTTTAAAGGGAATTGCCTATGTTTAATTTAGTGCTTCTTGCTTCTTGACTTGTCGCTGGACATCGCTGAGAAGAGCTTGGTTCTGTCTTCTTTACTCCCTCCCATTGGGTATTTGTATGCATGGACAAGAGCCTGCATGAGCCTTCTCTTCTTCGGGTTGAACAGTCTGAGGTCTCTCAGCCTCTCTTCATGTGTCTGATGTCTCAAGCCTTAAAGGGGAAGGATCATATCTCTCAACCTGCTGACAATTCTGTTTCTAATGCAGCCCAGCATACTGGTGGCATTCTTTGCCACAAGAGCACAATGCTGGCCCACAGTCACCTTATTGCATAACAGAACCTATTCTGCAAACTTCCTTTCTAGACAGTCAGTCCCCAGCATGTATTAGTGCACAAAGTTATTCTTTCCCAGAGACAGGACTTTGCATTTCCTTTTGTTGATCTGTTTGACATTCATTTCTGTTCAGCCTGTTGAGGCCCCGGTCAGCATGACTTTAAAGAGATAATCAAGAGTGGCTTCACAGTAATATTAGCCAACTTATTCCCTCTTTGCAGCATCCTGAACTTCACCATCTCATACTCACTGCAGCCAGGGCTGCTCTTGACATTCACATCCTTGCTTGGTTCTTGTTTACGAGTATGAGGCACAGCAGAGGTACCTTCATCATCTCCCCAATTACCTATGTCAGGAAGCTATCACTGCACTCTGGAAGCTTCCTGGATTGCTTGTGCCCTGCTGTGTTGCCCTCCACAGGGTTAAAATCCCCATAAAGACCAGGGCCCATGAATGTGAGGCTGTTTCCAGCTGCCTAAAGATTTTGTTGACTTCTTGACCATGATCAAGTAGTCCAGACACAAAGTACAATATTAGTAGCTGTGGGCTGACGCTGGGCTTTCCACTAATCATGACCCAATAACTCTCACTTGGCTCCTTGCTTGAGTGAGCTTTCTCTGTTCCTGCTACTCTCATATAAAGGGCATTTATATAGTCATGGGGAAAACCACAGAGTGATAAAGCACGGCTCCTGCTGTGTGGAGATGCTTGTGTTGTTTAATCTAGTTGAAGTTAATGATAGTGGGGGCTTCCATTTGTGAAAAAATTCCACAAGCTTGATGTCACATACCTTGACTGCTTGATTCCACTCCCGTCCTGAGTTCTCTAACAGCTTCAGAAAAGCATCAGGACCAGATATATCTTGCTATAAAAGAAACTTGTTTACTATCGGTTCATTTATCTTTTTGCTATTACTAGAATGTCTTTGATACAACATCCCAAGACCTCATTGCTGTGCCTTTTCAGGGGCAAGGAAACTAATTCCTCCAATGTACAATGGGACCGACAAGTTTTCAGCTTCCCTAGACGCTTTCATTCATTCCAGCAAAAAGCCTTAATTAGAGTGGAGAAAATATGACCCTAGCCCTAACCCTAACCCTAACCTCTTGACAATCTTAATCAATCCAGGTTCATGGGCCCACAGAGAGAACTTGACTATACTACTTTTATAAATATGAAAAAGAGGGAGCTGTTTGTCATTAGTTTTCTGAATCTTACATTTGTGTTTCTTTCCTGTTAAGTTTTCTGTACCTGGTCTGAAATTGCTTTGCATCACTATTTATCTTGTTTTGACATTTATTCACATACCATTTTGTTCCTCCACAGTTCAACAGCACAATTTAGAAAAATTGAAATTTTCATTCCTTTTTCTTCCTTTCTCTTACCTTTCCATATCTCCCTGCTATCTCTTTGTATAATTACTCCTTCTTCTTAAATCTGCAGAAAATGTCTTTCTTATTGCCCTTAATTTTTCTCTAATTTCCAAAACATTTCCTAATATTTTTCATTTGATCTTGCTGTTCCTTTCAGTGCAGAATGCATTAATTGACATCTACTTTTCCTATACAGTTCTCTCTTTCTTCCTCTTCTTCCTCTTCCTTTCACTTCCTACCTACCTGCCTTTAGTTCTCCTTTTCTACTTACCACTTCTGAATTCCTTTATTTCTGCCTTGCACAACTACCCTTTCTTCCTTTAAATTGCTCTGTTTTCTTTTGGGATTTGTTTTTTTCACTATTAATTCTTTCTTTGAAGTTGCATTTAGGATTAAATCAGACTGATTTTAAAGTCATAGACATCTAGGTGATTCTGCCTGCTCAGACACAGCACTCTGTTCACCCATTTCTTTTCTAAGGTCCTTCATGCCACTCTGAATGATTTTTGGTCTTTTTTTTTTTTCCTTCTTTGTGGCTTTATTAACAGAAGCTATCCTGATCTTGCAATTGGTGTTTTTTGTTAGTTTGTTTGGGTTTTTTTTTCTCCTCTTTGGTTGGTTGGTTTTTTGGTTGGTTTGTCTTTGGTTTTTTCTTCTTTTGTTCCTGTGTCACTCTGTGCTTTCTCCATTCAGGTCTTATTTTCTTGCACACTTCCTACCTATTACCATGATTTTGAATGGGTAGCTCTTTAGATTTTCTTAGGTTTCTCTTTTCCATAATTCTCTTCCTCTGCTTCACCTTTTTTTGCTTAGAGTAGACAGTGAGACTTTCTGCATGTCGGAAAGAACCAGTCCCAAAAGTTCCTCACCTGGAAACAGCTAGAGTGTGGAAGGATGATTATGCCTCTGATATGTTACCTATATGAGGTGTCAGATCATGATGTGACACAATATCCTCCAGGCTCAGACCTCACTGTCCCCAAATGACAGCAACAGATAGATAAGGACTGTCCCAAAGTACCCTCCCTTTCTATATGCACGTGCTGTTTTGGTCTTTCTGTCCATTCTAAAGTAGAATCCTTTTTGTAACAAACTTACAACCTCATCAGGCTCACTGCAGCTTAGGGGATGGTATACCAGACTTAAAAAAAAAATTAACAGTGAACAGAAGCAGGCTGGTTGATGTCTTCAGCATTGGCTAAGACATATAGTACATATATACTGTTATATCTGAGTGAACAGTTGCATATTTGAGGGTGTACACTTTGATTTTGATGGCATTTACTATTTATTTAACAGACCATAAATGCTCCAAATAAGCCATTGTAGTCAGTTATGGATATCTGAACTTAAACACTTATTGAAGAGTGGATTTCTTGTCATGATATATGGAGTCGTTAAGTTTTACAATATAAATACTTTGTGCTGTCCTTAGTTTGCAAATCACTAAAGCAGTTGTCTGCTCTGAGCCAGTCTCTGCACTGTGCATATATGTTGTCACAGAAATTGCTTTTACAGTTGCAGAGGAGAATAATTGCTATGAAGCATCAAATTCGAAGTATAAATAGTATGAACATCATAACTCCTTTCTGGTTAGTTAAGTCTTAGTTTATTTTTTATCTTTCCCTTAAAAATAATTATAATAATACTTTTGGGTTGTTTGAACTAAAAAAAAACATAAGGAGTTAATTTTTACTGATTTAACACTGATAAAGTTTGTAGCTCTTCTAAATGAAGGAAGGTCTTCTGGTTTGGTTTTAATAAAAAAAATATGAGGAGTAATTTATCTTTACTGTGTCATATGCTTTTGGAGTAGTAGCTTCACAATGCCAACACCTAATCATCTCCCAACACTTCCATAAACAGCACAGATTAGCAAGCATGTATGATTTTTTCTGATGGCTTCCAAGCAGCTTCTTCACAGTAATAATAGATGGCCATCAGTAAAGCCTTTTTCCTGCAGCTTTAATCTGCATGCATCTTCTAGATCATGGGCTTCAGGGACGCTGAAGACTGCTGCTTTTATTAATCTTCATACTTGTGATCAAAGTGGTGCTTCTTAACTGTAGCCTTTCTCATGACTAAAAGGTTTTGTAAAGTAATTTTACTTTCTCTGTGTATAAATGCTCAGGCATCATTTATAGGGGCCCTAAAGTGACTTCTTCAAGTCACACAAGTTTTCTTACAAAGCTTGAGTTTCAGCAACAAACTTTAAAAGAAATTATTTCTTATACACTAGATCTGTCTGGGATGCAGTTAACTCTTTTCCTAGCAGCCCATAGGGTGATGTATTTTACATCTGTGGCTAAAATTGTTGATAATGTATCAATGATGCCCCATCAATGGGCCAATCAACAGGCCAACCCACTACGACCGTGATAATCAGGCTAAGGGAAAGTCCAGTCATCTTAGACAAAACTGAAAATCTCTTGCCACAGAGTAATAAAAAGTGTGTGACTGTCAATTGAGTGCTGTCAATGCTGCATGTCAAATAATTATTATGCTCACGGAACCTGTGTTGTATAGTTTTTTCCTATTACAGATTACATGACCGCTCCTAGATGTGTGTGTTGTGGAGTGCTGAATGATTTGCTACTTAATATCAGCTTTTTCTCTCTTGTTTTTAGCCCCTTGTGAAGCCAACACATTCTTTTGCCACAGTAATATGTGTATAAATAATACACTGGTCTGCAACGGACTCCAGAACTGCGTGTATCCCTGGGATGAAAACCACTGCAAAGGTAATGTTAAGGATTGAAAAAGTCAAATCATGTAAACTGCATGAGATTCAGCAAAGGATCCTCAGTTTCTTGTTAAGTATGTGCCAGGTTCATGAAAACTCAGGAAGAGTAATTCAGGAAAAGCGTACATCAAGCATTAGAGAAAATGAAGGGAGCTAAAAGATGCCGATGGATCTTACTTTCAGTGTTTGTATTCATGATGTGTCGTGTTGCATTGGTTACATCCTTCTGGCTGACTATATGCTTCTGGGAGGCTTTCTGATCACTTCTTCTCTGCTTCCCATACAATCTAAAGTATAATTAAAAGTACTGTTTCAGTTCCTTTGTCATAGGTACTTTTGTAGTGGAGTAACATATTGGTAGTAGGTGTCTTTTAGCTGCATGCTATGCCCATAATAGGCCATGTGGTTTTAAAAGCCAAGGTGAAGTGGAATTTACACTGCAAGAAAGCAAAGAAATCCAACGATAATCAAGTGAAATTGAAGAGTGAGGAACAAGCCCAGGAAATCAGGTGTAATGTCTGTTTCATAGGGAGGGAGGGATGTTCCTAACCATGTGTTGGCAGCGGTTTCTGCATATTGCTGTGTTTCTGGAAAAAAAAAAAGTCAGCATCTGTGTTGTCTTCAGGGAAAAGAGCTTAACTAACTTACATTGCAGGCTTGGGAGACAGTTTGCTTCCCTCCTGCCCACCCCCATCCATCCCCACCACCCCCCCCCGATCCAGATTTGTTCCTGGAAACATGGGATATGCCAAATTTAGGAACCAATCAAGAAAAAATTCAGAATGAGGTGGATTAACAGTCAGCCCATAAGTCTGCTGAAGCCTGTAAAATCCTGACAAGCAGTGCAATAGGGTAAAACACAAATGAAAGCATACTTCAAAAGAACACAAACTGTGGCATAGCATAATATTCTTCAAAGAAACTAAACATACAATTGGGAAATAATTATTCATTCTCTAGTTCTTCAGAACAGCAGAAAACAGAAAATCTTCACCACTCTTTTAATTTCCAGAATGATTTTCATCTTTCTTTTGCCAAGTATCTTTTTATTGGGTCTTGTGTGTTTATCCTCTCTTTTTTTTTTTAACTATGAAAAGGAGGTTTGCTGATTCCAGCAAAAAGGTTGTTTGCTGCAGTGCTGCTTTTTCTAAGTCTGCTTTTTCTCCAGAGTCTGTGTCAGTCAGTTAGAAAAACACTGGGTAAGAGTAGGCAATGGGGAGTACTGAAAAGTTAATTTTTGGAATCTAGGAGATTCTGAAGAGATGGATGTTGCTGTTTTGGTGCCAGTAACTTTCATTTCAAAGGCTTTTTGTCAAGTTCTTTGATGTGTTTTAGGTTGCCAAGAAAAATTACAGTAAACTTAATCACAATTATCGAGTCTTGCTATGCCTGAGAGAGAAAGATAAGAATGCTTTCAGCTGGAATTTCTACAGGGCTCAGTCACCATCTCATGTGCCTGCAGCCATTTGAAAGCAAATCACAAAGAAAGATACACAACAGTAGGGTGAAACTGGTTTTATTTTTATTATTTTACTGCATATTTTTGTTTATCATCACTCACAATGCAGTTTGCTGGCTAATCTATTAGAGGCCTCTGAGTAAAGGGTAGTAGACATGATCAGCTTTTGTGTTTTTATGGGTGTTCAGAAAAGTTTTGTAAATTAATAGAAAAAAAAAAAAGAAATAACTTGCACCAATTTGTTTTTTCCTTTCTCAAATCTCAGTTTGAATAACTTTTCTATTTTCTCCTGATTTAGCTTTTTCCTTGAGCGCTGCAAAATTCCCAGTCAGCTCACAATTATTAGGACTTCAACACAGTTTGCAATGCAAAGAGAAATTTCTTTTTAAATTTTTCAAAATCTTGTTCTTCCATTGGGCCTAACGTCCTAGTTGCATATATTTACTGGAAGGGACAGAAATAATGAAGAGAACATCTGTAACAGTCTTGGGGGCTTTAGCAGGCAAATAGAGTTCAGAGGTGACACTGAAGCCATCTGCTTGTTACGGTGGTTGCTTTTTATAAAAAAACATATATAATTCTTTCAATTAATTAAGCCTGCAATATACCCTGAACAAATGACTTTCCAAGCGAATAGGCACACAGAGGACTTGTGTGTTGTTTATTTAGCTTTCATGAATACCTGATTTCTTCCTCTTTTCTCTTTTGTTGATGAGATTGATTAAGTGAACTCAGACATATACTAGGCTCAGCTTTGTAGTAATCTGTGAACTCATCATGATTGTTTTTATTCCTGAACTGCAATTAATGCTATGCCTTTTTTTTTTCCTCCTATCACACAGAAAAAAGAAAAGCTAACCTATTGGACCAACTTACCAATACCAGTGGGACTATAATTGGGGTGACTTCTTGCATTGTGATCATCCTCATTGTCATATCTATTATAGTACAGATCAAGCAGCCTCGTAAAAAATTTGTCCAAAGGAAAACAGACTTTGATCAAAATGTGTTCCAGGAGGTGTTTGAGCCTCCTCATTATGAGTTATGCACCCTCAGAGGGACAGGGACTACAGCTGACCTTGCTGATGTTGCAGATGACTTTGAAAATTATCATAAACTGCGGAGATCCTCTTCAAAATGCATTCATGACCATCACTGTGGATCACAAGTGTCTAGCATTAAGGGCAGCCGTAGTAACCTCAGCACAAGAGATGCTTCTGTCTTGACAGAAATACAACCCCAGCCTGTAAAACCACTTGTTCAACCCATGAACAGGAGAAATATCCTTGTCATGAAGCATAGCTACTCACAAGATGCTGCAGATGCGTGTGAGATAGACGAAATTGAAGAGGTACCAACCACAAGCCACAGGCTGTCCAGACATGATAAATCTGTTCAGCGGTCAGTATCAATAGATTTTTGATGAAGATTATTTGTAAGGACTTGATTGGCCAAACATATTCCCTCTTTATTCAGTAAAGTTATATTTTTTTTTCTTCTTTACTTATTGTTTAAATTTATGTTTGCTGATAGTACATACTATTACATTATTTCTCTTCCTGTCTCTCTTTCTCTCATCTCTGCTCCTGGTTCCTGAAGGATCCTGTATCTCAGCTTTACATTTCTACTTTATTTCTTTCTTTTTATTTTTACTATTTTACACATATCCAAATGCATACATACACAGGTCAACAGAGAACAGGTACAATTTTTAAAAACCAAAGAAGATTGTGTAAATTTAGTTTTTGGAAAAGCCACATATATGTGGTTTCCTTGTAACTGAGGTGGCCTTGAGTATAATCCATGGTTGGTCTAACCATCTCTGAATCAATACATCAATAAATAAAAAATACATGTATCCATTTTGGTGCATGACACAAGAATGAGGATCACAATCCTGGGGTAAGGAAACCCCTTTTATCATGAAATGTTAACTTTTATATAATGAATGAAAATATTTTCAAATTTTAATGTATCCGTTCCATTATTAATCACAGTATTTTTGTCATACTTAAGATAGATGGACAAATTAGAACATGAGGCACCATAGTGAACTCATATATTTACATATAAGAATGAAGCTAAAAGGAATCTTTCTAATCAATAAAAAAGGAAAGTCAAGCATGATATTTTTAATAAAAGACCTATTTTTTCTATATATTGCACTTTGAATGACTGTAAATATAAATGATTAAAAGTTTACAAGCAAAAGAAAAAAAAGCAAAAACATTTATGAACAATATATTTAAAAAACACACATAACTTTTTTTATATATATTTGTTTTCTCTTCCATGCATTATTTATGCACTTCTTTTGACTGTTTACATGCCCTCCATATTTTCTTTGCACATTAAGGCATTTCTATTTCTTAAAAAAAAAGTTATTTGACTATTTTAATCTAACTGCATGCCTGTGTAAATTACTTCATGAATATTGGTCAGATTATCAAAGTGTACTGTTTATTAAGTATATATATGCATATATTTCTTCTTTTCTATGCAAACACTATTATTTTGAATGAAATAGCCATAACATTCCAGGTTCTGCCTCATTGGGTCTCTAAGCAAACATGAGTCTGAGTACAACACAACTAGGGTCTAAGAGACAAACCTGAGGTAAGTAAACTTACGTATACAGCAATTGAATCATCTGTTGCTTTCCATTTCATTTGTTATTTTTCTGAAATGCATATTAGGTCTCAAACTGTATATCACTTTGTATGGAGAGAGCCAGAGTTGAATTCTAAGAGAACTGAAAGACAGATGACCACTTTAACATTGCAAACTAAGCAAAATTTTTTAGTTGCTTATTCTTGGCAGTACTATAATCAGCCCCAGCTAAATGCAATCTTCATTCCAAACACCTTATAAAGTCAGGTGCTTTGCATGTCTCTTCTGTTTCATTTTTTTTTAATTATTATTTATGAAAATAAAATTTAGAGTCCCAGCATTTGAAATAGTACATAAAACTTGACAATCTAACTCAGGTCAGTAAGATGTGGAACTATCTGGCTTTGGATCATTTTATTCATTCGACCTTGTGAAATGTTGGGGGAGGATTTGTGAAGTTTTGGGGGAAGAGTATGTGGTAGTACTGATAAATTTAGAGATTCTGTAGCACTGTTGTTAATGTTTTCAAATTAAACTCACTCTTTTGAGTCTAGGAATATTCCTAGACTTTTAATTTTGCATCATTTTTATCAGCATTTAATCTCAATAAACATAATCTCAGATGTTTATAATAGACTTAAAGATAGCTGCTAGTCTGTCAATTTATATACGTGTATGTATAAACATAGATATGTGTATATACATTTTTATGTGTATATATGTATAAAGTAATTTTACAGGGAAAGAATCCATTAATGGTTTTATTGCTTGTAGATAGATTAAGTAAATATTTTTCTGCATTTTTTCTTCAGAGAACATCTTTTAACTTTTTTTTCCTTTCAGACAACTATTCATGCAGTCATGAAAACTCTGAATGGAAAAATTTATAATGAATTAGCTGTCTGAAAGAAAGAGTGGAAAATTTTCTAATTTAATTTCATTGCCTTCATGCAAATCTAAGAAATATAAGCATATCTTACTTCTGTAGCAAGATACTCCCATTGCACAATAATATATTTCTTTTGCAATGTTGTTGCCGGCCACCAAGTGCTCCTTAGTTATTAAATATATTTGGAGATTTGCCACAAACTTGAGGAAGAAATTAGCTCCTAAGATTGACCCCTTTTTTTTAAGCATAGTTTTATTTGAGTTTATATATTTTATGTCTGCTTTTTACTTGTATGTTTTGTGATATGTGGAAGAAGATTTACATTGAACCTTTGTTATATGTACGTTGTTTTCATTATATAGACTGCTTGAGAATAGTGCGCTCCTGGGTGATTTTGAACATGCTACAATGAAATGTGAAACTGTCGTCCTCGGAAACACCAGCTAGAGGTTTTATGGACTCTGACCAGCTATTCTCATGTCATGACAAAATTCAGCAAACAGTGTTGAGTAAAATTACTAGAAGGCAATAAGACTTTGGTTATTATGCTTATCAGTCATTTCTCTTTTTTCTTTTTCTCTCTTCTTTTCGTTACAATTTAAATTCCCAATTTCAGGAACAATTTATTGAAATCAGGTATTTAGCCATTCATAATCACTTCAATAGAAGCATTTGTTGGATAAGCATCTAGCAATATGACTGAATTTGACATTGAGAAATTAATCTGCATGTTTGTTACTGAATATTTGAGTTGGCAAAAATCCCTTTATTAGATACATTGTAAAAAGCATGCATTCACAATTATTGCTGTTACTGTTCCATTTCTGTGTCATATGCTTGCTACTTGTAACTTTTTATATAAAAATACATAAAAAAATGTATAATAATTTCGTACCTTGAGTTTAATGGCAATGTTTTCTTTTACCTAATTTATCAATCCTGTGTAATTTGGGAGATTGACCTCAAAAAGTATCTTCTAGGAATTTAAAACCCAGATACAGCAGGAAATCATCTGTCTCTCATCCCTCACTTACTGAAAAGCAAAATACATTTTTTTTTACGATTTAAATGGATTCATATTACATAAAGCTGATCACTTAATTTAAGTTCAGAGGTTTGTGTTAAGCTATATGCTCAATTCTGTACTCTTCATTAATTTATTTCCATGGTAATTAATAAGAAGATTGCTTCAATGTAGTAGAGTGGCAGATATTGATCGGTTACACAAATGTTATGTCTGGGTTCCAATTTTAGAAATACAGATATGAACCACTTCCCTATGCAAGACAAAATTATATTCGTAATTCAAGCTACAAATATTAGCAACTGACACCAAAATTACACCTGAGAAGTTGCGTTATTATAGGTTGAAGAGCCAAAATTATGTAAAGTTGAAAGTCCTCTTATTTAAGAATTCAGTAACCATGCATAAAATCATAGTTTCATTATCTATGTAAAGTGTTACCTTCCAAATTCTGTTTTAAAACAAATCCCAGTTCCTTCTTAAGCATCTTGTGTCATTCATGGACGATATAAAAATGTTGCTAGATTTATTGAAAAAAGCATAAAAAATTCCATGTATCTTCCCAAAGTATAAAAAGATGGGAAAAGAGAAAACCTGAAAGACTGACATAAAAAATAAGGTGAGCTGTTTAAATATACAGGATCTAATTTGTATAATTAAAAATACAGAAAATTTGATTTCTACAAGTGTGATTTAGGAATGACATGAAAAGATGAAGGGTTTTAGGTATTTGATTACTTTTTTTGTACACTAAATTTACATTATATTTTACACCACTCGTTTTTAGCTTGATTAAATTGTTTGCTCTCACATATTAGCTGCAAAAGACAGTCCTCTGTCCTCTCCAGTCATTGAGAGTCATTGAGTCATCCCTCAGTTACATGGGTTTGTAGCATGCACTAATAGTTCATTTCCAGATCAATATCTCTTTATAATTCATATACTTTATCACTGCTTTTTCCCTTAATCTTATCAAATCCTAGCTCATCATCCTTTCTTAAGTATATTATATTATTTGCCACATACATGCTTAAAATGGATGCATCTATGCATCCATTTTAAAATAAAGGAAGAATGGAAGACTTGTTAGAAGAAGTGCATATACAGCCACAAACATTGATGTATATTTATAAATATTTGCTAATGGAGATAGTGCATAAATAAATATAAAAGGAAAATTCTAAATATTAATTTAGCTTTGGATGAATTGTATTGGTCTCAGAAAAATGCTTAACTTTTGGTTTTTATAATTGCTATATATTTAAGTGCCTAAATCCCCTGAAATACAGAGTTTGTCTAGTCCTTTCTAGACAAGTGCACAATAAAATGAATTTTAAGATTCTTCCAGTGAAGTGTTGACTGAAAGAACTAAACTGGAGAAGACATGGATTTTAATAATTACATTTCATGCATATCCTTGCTTTCTTTTAAAAATACCTAATTGTGTCACAGAAAAAGAAGGGAATAACATAAAACCTGTGTAAATAGAGCAAGTCAAACAAAGTGAGAATGTTAATGCTTACTTGATTTTGGAAACTCCTTTAGAAATATGTTGCCTAATAGCTAGGTATACCCTTAAACAGAAACAGCACTGTGAATTGCAAAATATCTGTAAGCTGGGGGAACAGGGTCAAATTATATCTATTAATATAAATGAAAATAAATTCAAACCTAGTTAAAATATTATAATTTAAATATTCAATTCCAAATAATTAAATGCTTTATGTAGTCAGTAAATAATAGCCTAGTCCACTATACTGCAAACAGTAAAGAAAACTTTTGTTTCGTATCACACAACAGTAGGATATCTTAATGTGAAACTCAAAATATTGAAATAAAAGGAGTTGTTGCTGGAAGTAAACAGCTTTCCTTTCCTATGAGTATTTTCTATTATTAGGAAGGTACTCTTTTAAAAGCAGAAGGCAGTTCAAACAAGCTTTCTGTTTTATGGAAAGAAAGTTTGGCTTGTTAAATTAACAGAGCTATATGTGTTAATACTGTATAACAAAACAGTAACTTACAGTAAATTAGCAGAGCTAGTGGTCTTAGCTTCATGCATTTTACCTCATGTTAGCCTTAAGCTAAAACTAAGAATGGTATTTATTAGATCATTTTGGTTTGACTGGTGCAGTGTGTTTGATCTACAGCTTTGCTGACAGTATGCCTATTTCTTATATACT